ACAATAACAGTATAATGAATGTTAGTTCTTCAATTGCAACATGATAGATTCATCAGTAGAATAATAGAGTTAATCCATTCTCTTTTATTTAACTATCCTTATTAGAGATTTCTTTTCTTTCATTCATTGATTTTCAATCGATTATCTATTTATGGTTTGTGGCTATTTTTTGTTGTTGTTGTTGAGAGTGATAGTCTATAACAGACATAAGAATCCTTTTTTTTTTTAATATATTGTCTATTATAGTGTAATGCACTCAGTATTCAACTCTCTCTCTCTCTCTCTCTATTCCTCTCCATTATTCTTAGCCTCTTGTTATCTATGTGGTACATGAAACATTTTAACTATGCCTTATTAAGTTTGGGTCAATAGGTCACTTATTTATGGAATGAATTAGGCATGATAAGTTTAGTCAGTTAATGAATATACATACATATATGCAAAGATGTATATAGGGAGATACAGAGAGATAGAGAGAGAGAGAGAGAAAGAGACTGTGTAAACATCCAATAGTTTTTCATGTTTAACTAATAATAAACAGAAGATATTATTGTCAACTACAATTGTAGTTTACTTTAAGTTTCTACAAAATTCATAACTACGCTTAAATAGAACAAGAAGGAGAGTAAGAGAGTAAGAGAGTATGACAAAGTTGATAGAGATTTGTTTACTCTAATATATTGATCTATAATGGTTATCATCATCATCATCATCATCATCATCATCATCATCATCATCATCATCATCATCATCATCATCATCATCATCATCATCATCATCATCATCATCATCATCATCATCATCATCATCATCATCATCATCATCATCATCATCATCATCATCATCATCATCATCATCATCATCATCATCATCATCATCATCATCATCATCATCATCATCATCATCATCATCATCATCATCATCATCATCATCATCATCATCATCATCATCATCATCATCATCATCATCATCATCATCATCATCATCATCATCATCATCATCATCATCATCATCATCATCATCATCATCATCATCATCATCATCATCATCATCATCATCATCATCATCATCATCATCATCATCATCATCATCATCATCATCATCATCATCATCATCATCATCATCATCATCATCATCATCATCATCATCATCATCATCATCATCATCATCATCATCATCATCATCATCATCATCATCATCATCATCATCATCATCATCATCATCATCATCATCATCATCATCATCATCATCATCATCATCATCATCATCATCATCATCATCATCATCATCATCATCATCATCGTCATCATCGTCATCTTATCTATTACAGTCTAATCTATACAACTGATATATAGATCATGAGAAAATTGATTTCCATTGTTGTTGTTGTTGTTGGGAGAAATGACTAAATAATGTTGTATTCACCTTGTTTAGTCGAGTAGATTCTGTTGTTGTTGTTGTTGTTGTTGTTTATGGTTGACCTATTTTATATTCATAACCTTCCTACACATACATATCATATTGGTTGTGTATATTGTAAAAGGGATTTCCTATTGACTTGAGATGATCAATTTTTTTTGTTGTTGACTGAATGCATTATGTACTGTATATATTGTAAAATGAAGTCAATAAACTTTGGTTTCAACGATTGATTATTAATAATTGAGGCGTTAAATAATCATCCATTTACAGTAAGTAAACAGATAGATGAAAGGGTGATACAATTGATTGGAATAAAGCTTATTTAATATCAGGAGGGGTTTTGTGAAGATTTAAAATCATGAGTCAATTGAAGCTAGAACACCATGGAAAACCTGGAAGCACTGGACGGTCGTTTCGTCCTAGTATAGGACTCCTCCGCAATGCACACACACGATCCCGCCCACCGCGAGATTCGAACTCAGGAACTATCAGTCTCGCGCCAGGCGCTTAGCCAACTAGACCACTGAGCTGGCTGGCATCCAACGGTGTTAACGTCTAACTTCAACCAATCCACGAAGTTGCGCCATCGTTCACCATTGTCTTCAGTCAGTTGATATCTCACAACAGACCTGGTTGAACTCCACTGGTAACGGCTTCTCATTAGAATTCCAGGAGTATCTGTTGAAGTCAGTCACTAGTGAGCAGATGATTATTATCAGAAGGGGTTTTGTGGAGATTTTAGGAATTTCAATAGTTGAAATCATGAGTCAATTGAAGCTAGACTACCATGGGAAACCTGGAAGCACTGGATGGCCGTTTCGTCCTGCTGTGGGACTCCTTAACAGTGCTCACCGACGATTCCATATCAAGGGAATCGAACCCAGCAACTTCGAGGTTCAAATCGTCTAGTTGCATTCAAGCTCTCCATTGTATTCCGTGCTTTCCCTCGGATGTGGTGATCTTCACAATCCAGATGATCACCAGAACAAAGAGAAATGGTGAAAGTAAGCGGATTTGTTTTACACCTGTCTTTACTTGGAATGCATCTGTGAGCTGTTCTCCATGCATTACTTTGCACTGTTATGCATCGTAAGAATACCATATGCTGTTGATGGTCATCTCAGGTACACCATAAGCTTCCATAATGGTCTTTTATCCACTATCATAGTCAGCGAAGTTGATGTATAGTGACGCATTCCATTCGACTGATTACTCAATAATAATCCTCGACGTCACGATTTGGTCTGTGCACGACCGGTCTTTACGGAATCCAGTCTCTTGATCTCGAAGTTGGACGTCTTACCAATACTTAATCTGGTTCAACAATACTGTAGAAAACCTTTCGTGATGCCTCTATAGTTCCCACACTTATTGAAATCACCTTTCTTTGGTATCTTGATGACGTGTCCTTCTTTCCGTCCCAAATCTTCCTGAATAGAACATGGCACATCTTTGCAGTTACTTCTATATCCGCCTTCAGTGTTTCAGCTTACATGTTGTTTGTTCCTGCTGCTTTCTCACTCTCAATGTGTTTGACGGCCATGCTGATTTCTTCGATCGTTAGTGGAGCGACATGTATTAGGATGTCTCTAGTTGCTGCATTACAATAGCACAAAGAGATAAACTTATCAAAACAAAGAACAAAGTAGAACAAACAGTAATAATATCCGTAGTTGTAAGAATGATTACTTGTAGAGTAAATGGTTAACACAACAAGATGAACACCGAATTCATAGAAATAGTTACTTCGATAGTGGTAATATATGAAAGAAAGATTGCAATAAGGACATAGTACAGGAAGAAAGAATTAGTTCGTAGAAACAAAAATATGAAGCGGTTCTAATCTCTTAGTTTAAGGGAAGATAAAGAGTGTATACACCTATACCATTGTGATCGATTCCGATCCATGTCACACAGTCTCCAACCATTGGTTACGATAGTCACACAGACCCCAACCAAGTAGTTTGCATCTACCAACATGGTTCAGACTAGAAATTAGTGATTTCAAGCACTGATGCCATGTTTTGATTTGGCCGCCCCCTACGAACTAATTCTTTCTTCCTGTATTATATCCTTATATGCAGTCTTTCTTTTATATATTACCACTATTGAATTAACTACTTCTATGAATTTGATGTTCATCTTGTTGTGTTAATGAGTGAGGTGTGGCAACTTGTACCGATGCATATATGTGTCTGGTCCTACGTTGTAGCTGACTGACTGACTGACTGACCATGTAGTTTATTGATGATTATGATTGACGTAATCATTTTGACAATAATACACAGACTTTCGACATTCATTTATCAGAATTATACTACTTATATGCTAAGTTGTATATGTGTAGTATATCAAATGTGAAGAATTATTTTGTATATATATATATATATATATATATATATATATATATATATATATATATATATATATATATATATGTTGTTGGACTCTTCATCAGTGCTCATCCACGATCTCGCTCACCGAATTCGAATCCAGGACCTAGCAGTACCATGCGAAATATGAAAACACTTAACGATCGTTTCGTACTAGTACGTGACTCCCTAACAGTGCGTACATATGATCCCACACCAAACGGTCTCGAACCCACCAAATTCAGTCTCACGTGCGAACACTGAACCATTGAGCCGGCCGGGATCCAACGATGTTAATGTCTAACTTCAGCTAATCCCTGAATTGAGCCACTGTCCACCATTGTCTTCAGTGAGTTACTATGTCACAACAGACATGGCTGAATCCCATCTGTCACTAGTTCTCATTAGAACTTTGAGAAATATCTCTTGAAGCTAGTCAGTAGTGAGCATATTCTAATAACTATCAGAAATGGGTTTTCATGGATACTATAATAATTTAATAGTTGAGATTATGAATCAATTTTACTCGAAGAATTAAAATGACATTGTACTCACGATCAAATACACATAAGACTGAGTTAATATTTCTCTATGGAATAGATTAAACTATTAGAGTTGGGATTTAATAAACCCTTAGATTTTCCAACTTGAGTCACTTCTGAATATAGAATAACTATGGTTTAGTCAACATAGAGTCTTGTATAAACGTGCGTCGGTCCAGTCGACTGTACAAGATCAACATGAGATCATACTACTAACATTGCTTGATCGATAAAATTTGATCAGAACTGACAGGACTAGACAGTCATTATTAACCCTCCCTATATAACTCCATCTTATAAGTAGTCAATCGCTATGTGAATACCGTAGCAGTAATATTTCACAATGTGATACCAGCTGACGCGAGTTCGTATTCCACAGGGAGTATCACTTTCTTTAAGCTTTCGGTTATGTTTTGTTGAAAAGCTTCAAGTATAACGCAATGTCTGTCAAGAAGAGTTTCCTATTTAAGACTTTCAACCACCGGGTTTAGATTCTTTCAATCTTTATGTATTGATTAATTTGATCTAATATATGATTCCATAAAAAGAACGTTCTTCATAATGGATAACACGGTTTGAAATCTATAAAGAGACATTAGTTCCATCAAGCTTACGTAATACTACTAACTAGTATAAATTCATCAATCAAACGTATTCCTGCAGAATGTATCTATTGAGCAGCCGGGGGGGGGTAAAATTGTTAAGATTAACCGATTAAATGTCTGTTATAATAATCTTTTCTTATCAAATCTTCTTTTGTTCTTTATCAAGACTCATCTATGATTTCTTATTCTGATTTGTAATTGTCTTTTTTTTTAAATAGCTATTTGCGCAACATATACGTCGTAATGTTCTACGTGTTTTCAGTGATGCATCAAATTCTGTTATAAGTCAACAATTAGGAGATTTATGGCGTACTGTTCCAAGAAGTTGCCGTAATCAATACGATGATGAAGCGAATAGATTAGTGAAAATTCATCAAATTGAATTTCCCAATTATAAATATCAACCTAAAAAACGACAAATCACATCATCGTCATCATCCTCCTCATCATCGTCAACAACAACAACAACAACAACAACCGCCACCACAACCACTGCGAATACATCAAGGAGTAATAATGATCAAATGCGTATGGTTAATCCAAATCAATTCCACAACACCACACACACTCTTACTCAATCATCTATATCAATGAATAATATACGAGAGGATCAATTGATAACATCAAGCAAATTATTATCAACCAATTTACTTAAAACGAGTACAGACTACAATGTTGTTTATTCTTCTTCGTCTTCATCGGCATCGGCGTCTTCTTCTTCTTCTTCCTCTTCTTCAACTGTAACAAATAAACTACCAACTTTGTCTAATCGTAATTATTCCATACCCGGTATATCATCTATGAATAGTTCTATTGTTAAGGGTCAAACTACCAATGGTAATAATGAATTCATGAATAATTTTATGACAAGTCCATCCAAATTAGTATGTAATACAATTTATGCTAAGCTAGAACCGAAACCATTAAGTGTGAACATTATCAATACTACTAATAATAGTAGTATACCTATGAATAACAATAATAATACTACTACTACTAACAATAGTCAAACATTATCATTCAAACCAACTATACATAGTTTATCATCAGTGTTACCACCTCTTATAACTTTGTCATCAAATCATGCACATCATACACATCATCATCATCAAACAAATGGATTAATGAATGAACAATTTTCACTTGGTATATGTGATTCAGCCTATGCATCTGGAATTAATAGTTCATCATCATCATCAGCATCATCTCCAGCTGTAGGTGAATTAATTTCACCAGTAAAATCATATTCATCAACTTTTTCATCACTCTCATCATCATCATCATCATCAATATCATCATTATCCAATATGAATATAAAACAAACGAAACATTCACCAATACGACGTAAAATTCATTTTATACCAATTAGACCACAATCACAACAATTACCACCTGTAGTTAATCAACCAACACGTCAACGTTTTCTTTCTGCAAATAATGGTATTACCACTACTAATAATACTACTAATATTACTAATAATAGTAATATATCAACTATTGGAAATGGTTATATTCAAATGAATGGTTTTCAATTGAAATCAAACTCTGAAAATGTTATTATACTTCCAAGAAAACTAAATGATTTACATGTTGAACAAAAAGATGATCAATTAACTGAACAATACATGAATGATACTGTTATACTTCAAGATGATAATAATAGAATGATAACAACTGATATTTTAACACCAGTTTATATTCAATTAGATCATGAAGGACAAAATCCACCAACAGAAAGTTTAATGTTAACTTTACCACCTGGTACAACATTCATTCAAGCTAATCATGATTCTATGAATCGTAGTATTCCATTAAATAATAATAATACAATATCAAAACGATTTTATATTACGAATGGTAATCGTATGATACCAGCTATATCAAAATCGGTACAAATTTTACAACCATTAAAAGTAATGAATGTTATACATCATCATCATCATGTTCATCCAAATCATTCATCATCATCTTCAACAACGACAACAACAACAACAACAACAGCAACAGCAACAACAACACCATTATCATCATTATTATCATATCCAGAACCTATACTTTATAGTCCATTAATGAGTAGTTCAGAATTATTATCTTCATCATCATATAGTTGTAATTCATCACCGAATTCAATTGTATCACCATTATCTGGTGATGTATTTCTACCAATGCAACAAGTTGAAATGATGTCAAATTCTACACATTTCAATACATATGATCAACAATCATCATGTATGGATATATATCAATTTGATGGACAAAATCAATTAGATATGTGTATAGAAGAGGAAGAAGAAGAAGAAGAAGAAGAACAAAGGGTACACGAAGAAGTAGAAGAAGGAGAACAAATCCTTATTGATGAAAGAAGAATAACACAACTTCATTCAAAGAATTTAGACACAATCACTAATATTATTAGTATAGATGAATGTATGGATGCTGTAAATAATGATACATTTATAAGTAATACAAATTCTTCAGGTATTCTACATAATTGGTCATCAAATTTACCATTCAGTGAATCAATGTTAATGTCATCTTCAACATCCACATCAACATCATCATCATCAGTTCATTATTATCATCAACTGGATCATCATCGTCATCATCGTCGTCGTCGTTACCATTAACAACAACAAAAACAATGATCATTGTGAATAATAATGATTATGATCATAATGAGCATGATGAGTGTATAGGTGTCTCAAATCGACATCTACCATTAACTATTGATGTTATGAAATCAACAAATGAAAATTTCATCACATTATCATCTACATCTTCATCAACGATCACTACCTTGAATCCTCCGCCTAATCATCATCATTATCCACATCATCTTCATCATAATAGCAATATATCTATTGATAATGATTTAAATGATACTGATTTCTCTATTACAAATGATAATGATAATTTTGATTCAAGTTTTGATGCAATGATGAATTCAATTGATATTACAACTTTTCTACCTGGTACATTTCAAACAAATGAAGAACAAGATCAATCAATACATAATGATTATGATCATGTACAATTGCATTCATATCATCATGATCAACATGAATTCATGAAAATGGATGAATTTAATGAATCATGTCATATAATCAATGATGTCATGGCAACAACAACAACAACAACAACAGTAGCAACAATAACATCATCATCAGTAGCAGCAGTAGCAACAGCGGCATCATCATTATCGTTTATGAATAAACCGACTAATTCACAATTATACAATGTTATTAGATCTGATATTGATTTGATTCATCATAATCATTTAGAGAATGAAAATCGTACAGTATGTATTATTTCACCATTACAAAAAATTGGTAAACAATCATCACTTACATATTCACGTCCAATATCATCATCATTATCATCATCATTACAAGGAACACAATGTTCCACCTCTCTGTCATCATCTTCATCATCCTCCTCCTCATCATCATCGTCGTCAACTTCATCGGTATTAAGAATGAATTCATTACATGAATTATTAAATAATTCACCACAAGTATGTTCATCTACATTGGCAGATTTGGATTCATTAGATAAATCTAGTTTATTTATTATTAAACCAGAATGGTCTGTATTAGCTTAAAACAACATGAATAATAATTGTCATGGAATTATTGAACTATTGATTTATACAACTTGTACATTGAATTGATTTATACATAAATCTATCAATAAGTCTATACAATCTATTCTTTCCCTCCTCCTCCTCCTCCTCCTCCTCCTCTTCTTCTTCTTCTTCTTCTTTTTCTTCTCTATTTGTTTCTCTGGGCATATCCTAATTATATAACTCAGGTGGTTTATCTCAGTTACATTTTATTTGTTCATGTTTTGTTTTTTGCTACTGTTTGAATTTAATATTTTTCAATCCATTTCAACATTTTACTTTTTTGTTTCTACTTTTGGTTTGTTTTTTTAATTTTTCAAACAAATCGTTTTCTTTACATAAAATTTTGTTGTTGTCGATAGAAAAAAAAACCCAGGTAATATACGATTTTTGTGTTTCCCCACACCATACGACACCATTTCACACCACCCCAACCCTACCCCAAATGCCTAACACCTCCCCCCTTCATCAATTTAATATCTTTATATTCTTATTATTGACATGTTATATTTAATGAAAGCATTTAAACAAATCAATAAATCAATAAATAAAAAAAGTCATAAATCTTATTGATTATTGAATAATAATAATCATAATCATCATCATCATAATATGTGCATTAAATTATTTTGTACATATAATAATTCAATAATTCAATTTTGTTGCCATGCTCCGTTTTTTTAAAAAAAATCTTTTCAGGTTGTACAGTATATTCACACACACACACACACACAATCAATATTTTCTCCTTGTGCTTTCTTTATTCAATAATAAAGTCACTTTTTTTTGTTTTTGTTTTTTTTTTTAAAAAAAAATAAAGTAAAATGGAACTTACATCATCAATATAAGTAGTATGGTTAGTAGTCATAGCAGTTGTAGTAGTAGTAGTAGTATAAATGCTACTTGAAATATTGGATACATATTTGGTTATCATTTCAATCATAATGTGTTGGATACTAAAGTTTTCTTGACCGTCTCTCTTTTTTTTTGTTGTTGTTGTTGTTCTTGTTGCATTATAACTTTTGATAAGATTGAGATTTGGTGAATACATCTATCAATTGAACATCTCAGGATAATTCATTACTATTTTATGCTTTACTACGTATATACACGTATAATAAACAGTTTCCACACACACACACACAAACACACACACACACACTCTCTCTGTCTTTGGTTAGTTACTATTTCAGCCTTTTATTTAGTATTATTAATAACCATAGTAATCATCAAAAGGATTGTTTCAGTTTATTAAATTGTACAGTATTCATTCGATTCTTGTTTTTCTTTTCTTTTTTTTTTAATAAACTTTATTTTCTATACAAATGAACAATGATTCTCATTATCTGAATAAAATATTTGTTGACTAGTCAGGTAATTCCTTGAAATCAAGGATCTTGTTTTCTTTTCTTTTTTTTTCTATTTCTATTCGGCGGGGAACAAAATTGATCCTTTTTCATTCATTGTCTCAGGTCACTTCATTATTATGATTATTACGTAATATTTAGTTACTTATTTATATGTTCAATGAAATTTCTTTTAACGAATTTAATTATTTTTGAAAGCATTTTATTTTTTTCTTTTTAAAACAAAGTGTGTGTGTGTGTGTGGAGGGGGCGGAGTATGTTCTCAGTATTTGTTACTATGGTTATTTTCTGTATGTTTCTACGTGTGTGTGTGTGTGTGCGGTTCTGCATTGTTTTTTGGGATATAGAAATCGATCGATCGATCGATCGATCAATCAGTTCCCCCCTCGTTCTCCTCCCCCCTTCATTCAACGATACACTTATGTATTCAAATGAACTAATAATAATAATAAAGGACCTTTCATATTCAGGGTTATTATTACAATTATATAATCGATAATAATCTTTTTTTTTAATTGTTGTTGTTGATTTCTTTATTGGCTTTCTCTGTTTGTTTCTTTGTTTATTATTAATGATGTTAATGAATGATTATGATGAGTATAGTTTTATTACTGCTGAAGTTGGACAATCATAATGATGATGTTCATTATATACTACTTATATACTACTTATCTTTACATCCTTTGTTATATACATTTATATACATATGCATATATCTATGATAACCAACATTGTAATATTTTATGAATTGCCTTTTCTTTTTCTAAACAAAATGAAAAAAATAATAAACTTTTCAATTGAATTATTTAGAGTCTACTTTATTCTTTTGTCAAAGTTCACATTAAGTTGAGGTACTTACTTATTTACTTACGTCTGTTAGTCCTCGTGAAGGAGCATAAGCCGTTCACCAGGATTCTCTATCCAATTCTGTCCTGGACAATTCTTTCCACCTCCTTCCAGTTCCTATTCATCAGTATATAAGTGGATAACGCGATGATGTTTGAAGCGAATGGTACTGGGTTTGAGTATCAGAGTGAACATCAACAAATCTGAGATACAGGTATATCCAGCTGACGAGTAGTCTCGAATAGGACGAAACGTGCGTCAAACTGGATTCTACTGCTAGCCACTATCCATTAAGTTTGAAGTATACTATGATTTTATTATTTAGTTATTTAAACACAAGGTGGCATCAAGTAAATCATTTGATTTGTGTGCGTCGGTTGTGACACTGACCGGGTGCTCAAACCGAAGCAGGTAGTTTTTTTTGGAGGGCCACATTCGGAGCCTTTAACCTAAAGATCTAATCCATAAAGCAATGGAGCAATGTCAGGGAATGCAGTCCTATAGTAGCAGGTGGTAAAATGACTGGTTCATGTGCCATATGTTCCTTTAGGATCCTGGAGCTCATATGAAGCATTGATTTGGAATCAGGATTTTCCAACTTCCCTAGGTTAACTCTCCGAGTCCACAGACCCGTTTAAAGCGCTGAACATTCTCTTTTCGTCTTCTCAGTTTCGTAAACAACGGTAATATCGCGAGAAGTCAGTGAGTAGGACTTCCTTGGTAGTGTTTGTATACAAGTGGCTATGTGAAAACATTTCAAGAAGGAAGTATACTATGATTTAAACATGAAACTGTAAAGAATACAACTGAATTAGTGAGAGTGATTTCAGGATATGTTACCTAATTCATTATTTCTACATTTGTCATAGTTCATGATATGATGTGGACTATAGTTTTCTGAGTGAGTACAACAATCTTTATGAAAGAAATAACAATGATCTATAAGAACTATTGAATGTGTGATTATTTTCTCAGTTTTGACATTACGTTTAACAACATATGAGTGAATTGACTTTGGAATTATGTCAGTGAACTCTGACTTTATGGTTTTAAGGAATGACTGATCATCACAGAGGTCAAACACTCTAGATTAGACTCTCTAGGAGGTTGTGGGTAATTACTGTTCAATAGTATACTACTAGGACTATGTATTTGTTCTATTCTCCATTCTCTTCATTGGTCCTTCAAATAATAGTAATATGTAACACATATAATATATAAATAAGCTGATATATGTTAATCACTGAATCGAATGTGTATAGTTTAATGGATGATATTGAAACCTTTGTAACTAAATCATCGTACTGACAGCTTGGAGATTCAATTTAAGAACATTCAATATAATCTACGACTATCTTATTAAAGCTAAAGAAAAGTAACACTTCACAATTGATTGGTCACTGATGGTGATCAATGTCATGTGTGTCAAGTCCTTATTATCAGTGTAGATCGAATGCTATCGATCATGTTGCAATGTGGCCACCAGTCTAGGTGACTTGACATTGCGGACACTATATATTGAGATTAGATGGTGGTTGGAGGTACTTGACAGGAAACCCTTGACCCGGGTTTCGTGCTACCTGACACTCGTCAGCAAGGTGTATCTGTAATCTTGAGGTAACTGGTGCTCCCTGATGGATTCGGTCTCGTGTCACCCAGCTTCACAGTCAGAGCACCAGTTCCCTCAAGATTACAGATACACCTTGCTGACGAGTGCCAAGTAGCACAAAATCCGGGTCCAGGGTTTCCTATCGACTATCTCAACCACCATCTAATCATAGTTAATATTATCAATTTGTATTATGAATTAGAAATGATGATTACTGGACTTCAACTTTAATAGGTAATAATTTGAAAGTATCACGTTCAATCTCTGATTTGGTAATGATGGATTATGTACAGAGATCATTGCTTATCAATGATTCTCCTTATAAACAATGATAAATATAGTCATTAACAATAACAACAACAATAACAGTAATAAAATATTAAAATCTTATGAACATACATAATGTTCACTTTTGATAAGAAAATTATTATACAACAAAATGAATGTATCTATAAGCAATAATGGATAAGTGGCTAACAGTGGAATCCAGTTTGACGTGCATTCCATCCTATTTAAGACTTGTCAGCTGGATGTACCTACATCTCAGAGTTGATGTTCACTCTGGGATTGGAACCCAGTACCGTTCGCTTCAAACGCCATCGCGTTAACCACACAGCTACTAAGTCCTGATAGCCACTTTCTTGTGCAATGGGGTGAATTTCAATTCACTTGATATTTGTTTGGCTTGTATCTTCCCATTGATATTTAAGACTGCAATTGATCAGTCTCTTATTGGCATATGTGTATACTGTGCGTATGCCTCGATATTCTCTTAATTCACAAGCTTTTTATAAGCAATGATAGATAGTGGCTCAATGCGAAGATACAAGCCAAACAATACCAAGTGAATTTGAATGTATCTATGTTTAGATGATTTGTCTATGTATAGTTCTATCTATATCTTTTACCGGGAAGAGGAAAGTTGAAGAATGTACTACGTTGAGAAATGGAAGCAGATATGAAAATGATGAATGAAAACTGGAAAGTATTACGTAGGAGAGAGAGAGTGTTGTTGAGTGGCCTTTGCCCTTCCACGACAGGTAACAGACGTAAGTAAGTAAGTAAGTGTTGAAGTAAGTAAGTAAGTAAGTAAGTGTTGAAGTAAGTAAGTAAGTAAGTAAGTAAGTAAGTAAGTAAGTAAGTAAGTAAGTAAGTAA